GCTCCCGCGGGACACAATGGAGGGCGCGGGTGTAGGAGCGGTGTGTACGGGCTGGGGGTGGTCTCCGTGCCGCTCGGGCTGGTGTTTGTGTTCCGGAGTGTGTGCGTGTGCATGAATCATAGAATGGTCTGGGTTGGAAGGGACATCAAAGATCATCTAGTTCCAACCCCGCTGCCATGGGCTGGCGAAAGCTGAGGCATGTTTCTCCTTCCTCAGATCTCTGCTAGGTCAATGAATGCTGAGAAAGCGAAGGTGTCAAACACAGGGTGGTGGCAGTGAGTGCCACAGCCTTTTTCCCAGTGAACGGGAGACGGAGCTCTGTAACCTGGCATTTCCCTTTAGGAATGGAAATTATGTTATGTGAGTACGTGTACAGCTCAAGCAGAGCTGTACCATCCCTCTCCAGCTTTCCTGCAGGCCCCCTTCAAGTACTGGAAGGCTGCAAGTGTGCACGCTTGTTCTGTGATCGTGCGTACAACGTGCCTGTATGCTTGGAGGGTTTGGGTGCGGGCTTGGTGTGTCCAGGGAAATCCTGTGCGTGACCTGCTGGGAGGACTGGTGTGTGCACCTGAGGTCTGGCTCGGCTGCACGAGTAAAGGAGCTGATGTGGTGAATGCGCTCGCTCACTGTTGTGTGCATCACAAAAGGCTAACGCTGTAGGGTATGTGTACAGGAGCGAACTGGTGGGCGTCCGTGTGTGAGTAACGGGTTGTAGGAAGTGTGTGTGAATGTATAAATATGTATGGAAGGCTGGAGTACGTTTGGGGGAGTGGTGTGTGTGTGTTTTGTTTTGTTTTTTTTTTTTTTGTGGATATATATTCGTTGGCATTTGGCAGCTGTAAAAGCCAAACAAAAAAGACCCAGAGAAACGAATGTGAGAAGCAGGGACTTTCGTCTCCACCTGCTCCCCCACTCCCAGTGTGTCCCTGGACAATGAGAGCTATGGGAGTTAATGGGGTGACAGATGTTTGCTGACAAATAGACATAGTCTTAAGCATCAGGGTTTCTTAAAGACAGCTGTTCCGAAAAGCTTCCGTGAACCAAAGTAGAGCCAGGTTTTCCTTCTCTGTCAGGAGAGGGGAGCTTTAGCTAGCTTTGGCAAGAACTGGCTTTTTTCTGCTCAGTGTCATGCTGAAAAATGGGTGTGGACTACTGTGAGACCCAAGGCACGTAGTGGAGATGTGTATCTTCTGATGTTCTGTTCTGTCCAAGTGTAAAGAAAAGCATAAGCTTCCAGCTCTGAATAAGGAGGGATTCGGTGTCAATAGCAGAGATGTTACTGAGTAAATTCTTCCTTTGTGTAGGGGTATAGTAGGTGGTGACAGATTAGTGGAAAATGCTGAATAAAGGGAATGCGTTTCTAATATTTATGAAAGAGTTTTATGGCATCTTCCGCAACACCCTCCTCCCCCCCTCATATTAACGATCCATCTCTTTATTTTTAAAAATCTTTTCAAGGCGGAAGAAGCATCATGAAAATAGAGGTGTAGCTGAAGTTGAAGCTGTAGTAAACAGAAAGTGATCATTTTAGATTTTAGTATCTCTCTTGTTCTTTTAACTTCCAGGATAACTTTTAACGTAATAAAAAGGTTATACAGATGTTTGATCTATGAACTTCTTCAGATGTGTTTCTGGTGATTAAATTTTCCAGGCATTAGTGTGGTGACACATTAATACAACTTATTTTCTGAGTAGTTATTTTTGCATGCTTATTTTTTTTTTAAATTGCAATTTGTACTCTTAAAGGAAGAAGCTAACAATGGATTTAACTTTTCTTTGTGCAGCACATCCTCTATAAAGCTTTTTTCTTATTAGAGCATTATGCAACATAGACGTTTCTGTGAAATTCAGTGCTGAGTGTTAGGTAAGCAAAACAGATTGCTTCTCAGTGCTTTTGCAACATTACGAGAGGTTGCACAGTGTATTTTTAATGTGGAATGTTTTTTCCTTTTAATTTGAAGAATATGAAGGATAATTATCTGTCACAGTATGGTTGGAGAGTGTCATTGTTGGCTGTAGTTGCACTATGGTTTCTGAATCGCTGTTTAAATGCAGGTTGTCCTCATAGCTACAGCCTGATGTGCTGAATGTTCTTATGGACTGCTGAGAGTTTATAACTTCCACTGGATTTAAAATCTTCCCTGTAAGATACACTGTTGCTGATTATATCTTAGGAGATTGTTTTTAAAATAATTGATATAAACGAATAGCTGTTATTGAACTTATATAAACCCTTCCTAAAATACTTCCCAAATGTAGAAGAAAACTTTGTTCAACGACAGAAGTTCTGCTTTTTCCGTGCTAAGAAAATAGATGTGTGAATGAATTTATCTTGTTTGACTACTTCTTTAATTGCCTTTTGCATCTCTGTCAAGTCTAAGGAGAAACTTCTTCACAGTACTAGGAAAAGAAATTCATAAATACGCAATATTCCATGAATATTCTTTAAGACTGCTTTGTGTTTATTTTGGGACTTAAAGTTGTGGTCTGGACTTGGCTTTTAGGTTGCACAAGTAAAAACTTACCTTCTTTAGGTAAAAAAAAAAAGTCAATTGTATTTGCTCAAAGATGTAAAGTTTTATCAGCAAGCTTATATCTTTCTTAAAAAATGTACATATTTTTCCAAAACTTTCAATAGGGATGTGATGTGAATTCTAGCTGAAACCAGTAAGTGCTTCAAACATTAAAAAAAAAAAAAAAATCACATCTTTCATAGGTGGCCCAAAACATGCAGGAGACCACAGCCAATTTCATTCTGCACGTGCACGTCACACTCTGACAGCCAAAGCTGCAAGCTCTGTTCTTTGTAGCTGAACCTTGGCACGCCAACATGATGTACTTTGCTTCGTGTCTTCCTGCCTTCACTTGGGAGCAAGAGAAGTGTTACGGTAAATGGTGGAGGTAAAGACTTAGTAACCATGGGGGAGGAGGCTTTTACCTCGCCCTGTTTTACCTCTTCAAGCAAATCTCAAGAGCAGCCCCTTTATACGGACCAGTTGTTTTGTAGAGTTAGTGGTGTATTAGGGTCTGCTAGAACAAGTCAGACAGCAGCTGAATCCAAACTGAAAAAAACATCCCGGTTTGAGTGCTCATTAAAATCATAGGATCATAGAATGGTTTGGGTTGGAAGGGACCTCAAAGATCATCTAGTTCCACCCCCCCCGCCATGGGCAGGGACACCCTCCACTACACCAGATTGCCCAAAGCCTCATCCAACCTGGCCTTGAACATTTCCAGTGATGGGGCATCCACAACTTCTCTGGGCAACCTGTTCCAGTGCCTCACCATTCTCAAAGTGAAGAATTTCTTCCTTATATCTAATCTAAATCTCCCCTCTTTCAGTTTAAAGCCATTGCCTCTTGTCCTGTCACTACACACCCTTGTAAAAAGTCCCTCTCCAGCTTTCCTGTAGGCCCCCTTAAGGTACTGGAAGGCTGCGATAAGATCACCCCGGAGCCTTCTCTTCTCCAGGCTGAACAGCCCCAACTCTCTCAGCCTGTCTTCATAGCAGAGGTGTTCCAGCCCTCGGATCATCTTCATGGCCCTCCTCTGGACTCATTCCAGCAGCTCCATGTCCTTCTTGTGCTGGGGGCTCCGGAGCTGAATGCAGTATTCCAGGTGGGGTCTCAGGAGAGCAGAGTAGAGGGGCAGAATCACCTCCCTTGACCTGCTGGCCATGCTCCTTTTGATGCAGCCCAGGATACAGTTGGCTTTCTGGGCTGCCAGCGCACATTGCCGGCTCATGTTGAGCTTCTCATCCACCAGCACTCCCAAGTCCTTTTCCTCAGGGCTGCTCTCAATCCATTCTCTGCCCAGCCTGTACTTGTGCTTGCCTCGACCCATGTGCAGGACCTTGCACTTGGCCTTGTTGAACTTCATGAGGTTGTCACAGGCCCACCTCTCCAGCCTGTCGAGGTCCCTCTGGATGGCATCCCTTCCCTCCAGCGTGTCCACACCACCACACAACTTTGTGTCATCTGCAAACTTGCTGAGGGTGCACTCGATCCCACTGTCCATGTCACCAACAAAGATGTTAAATAGCAATGGTCCCAGTACTGACCCCTGAGGAACACCCCTCGTCACTGGCCTCCATGTGGACATTGAACCGTTGACCACAGCTCTTTGAGTGTGACCATACAGCCGTGTTTATATTTAAAGTCTCCCTCCACAATAAAGAATTTATCAATATTTCTACTCTTCCTGTAACCAATGTAAATAGGTTTTTTGATGTCTAGTTATTGCACGTTCCAAAGATGTAAGCTTTGGATCCGAATGAGTTTTATATTAGTCCCTGAGGAGGTAGGGGGATAATGTCATCTTCTCTGTGCCACTGCATACAGAGGAGTCTACAAAAAACAGCTAAAGCAAACACAAACAAACAAAACCCCCACAAACTTGTGTTGTACTGTATGACTTCTAAAGTCAGTCATCTTCTTTCTCCTTCCCACACCCTCAGTGTCCTAAGTGATGAGCTCAAGACTCTGCAACTGCACTTTCATACACTTTTTGAAAGAGAAGTCTATAATTTTAAAGTGCTGGACAGTAATAACTCCTGATTTTGTTGGAAGTGACATTTATAAGAGATTGTGGATGTCTTGTAGAAGACATTTGTTGTCTGTTATGATTACAGAATGAAGTTTAGGAAAAAAAATGTAAGTCCCTGATTGTCTGGATTATGTTTTCGTCCCCTATCCTCTGACACGAGAGGACTAGTCTGTAACTTATGATTTAAATGCTCTGCAGCAAACACTACTTTTCCACTAAATGCAGCAAAAGCATTAGCACCTCTTAACAACAATTTGACTGTGTAGTCCTAATAGCTTTGAGGATGCTGGTTAATACAATAAGTAAGGAAAGGATCCAGTGATGAAGAAAATACTGTAACATGTAAAGAGCTGAGTTGCATTTGCAGGTCTGACATATTGGCATTTCTTAATCTGAGTGCTTTGAGTTTATAAATCTTCAGGAATGTAACATTATACAGGTTTTTAATTCAAATTTCAACATGTGCTACCTTGTTGACTTAAATTTGTATCTTTGTGTTCACAGCACAGATACTGCTTGACTTAACTCTGTCGCTAATAGTGGTAGGCTGGGTACTAGATTAGAATCTCAAGAGAGATACTTTCGTTCAGAGTAATCACTCTTGATTTAGGAAATGTTATTAGGCAATGGTTATTCTTCTGGCAGAACAAGCCAAGGGCTAGTGAAAAAGAAAACTGCTTTTTTTTTTTTGTGTACTGAAGCTGAGTGGCAGTAGGACAGCATGTTCAGGTAGATAATATTTGAAAATGTTAGCATTTGTATACTTTGTGTGTTGACTTTGCTTTTTTTTTTTATTTGCGCAAGATAAAGCTGTTGACAGAGTGCAGTCAAGTTTTGATAAGTTGGAAGTGATATGAATGTAATTCTAAACTGTAGCATGCTTCAAAAACTCTTTTTCTAATCTCAAGTCTGATCTTTAAGGTGGTGTATGCCTACACCAATATGTCTAATGTGTTTATATAGCATATAAGAATAATGAATATATTTCTATGTATCTATCGTTTGTATAACTACCTAAATTAACAAATAATTACTCTAAAATGGAGTGATAGGGCATGAATTACAAGTGATTTGAGCCTTGCAGTTTTTCTGGTAGAAAAAAAGAAATCCCCACCCAAGTAAAACCGGTGGAAAGGAACATAAACTGAAGACAAGATTTAAGATGGCGGTTAAGTGCTAAGAATTTTAAATAAACCTAAAAAATGGATCTCAGTTGTCTTTATTAGAAAAGCTGTAGCTTATATGCAATAGATAGGGTGTTGTTGTGCATGTAAGCTCGAAGTACTGCATCTTTCCTAGTTCCCTGTCAGTGCGTTCCTGTGGCAACTGTGGAGTTTTGATACATAGAAGTTAGGTTTTGGCTACTTCAAGTAATTCGTATACACTGAAAGTAAACTCTGAAACTTTCTTAGGGTCAGGCGAAGGGAGCCGGAAGGTTTTTCTAAAGTTTTATTTTATTCATGGCTCTTTAGAGTAGCCCTATGAGGACCTGACTAAATAAACTGAGGCTGGGTTAGTATTCAGAGCTCTCTGTCAGATCAGGCTAAATCATGATTACCATGTGAGCAAAGTACTCCATATGTGCAGCTCATCATCAGAAGAGCAAGCTAATGGGTATAGCTTCACAAAGACTGAGTTTTTTTTGACAGCATGCTTTTTTATTGAGGTTGGTATAGCTACACAAAGACTGATTTTTTTTTTTTTTGACAGCATGCTTTTTTATTGAGGTAGCAACAGTTATGTAGGTAAGTTTATACCTCTTAAAGTATGAATCAGTATATAGGACAAAAATAGGTTTGGTACCAGCATGTTCTTAAGGCCCTTCAGTCTCGCTTCCTCTTTGTAAATGTTGCAAATCTTTCAACTACTCAGTCATTTTTGAACAAGCAAAGTCTTGATAGTTTGTGTCCAGAGGCCCATGTTCTCTTTCTCCACTTTCTAGTGACATCTCTCGGTGTTATCCTCAACCCATTCTTTGCTTCCTTCGTTGTTACTCCAGCACACTTTTTTCTGAGGGTCATTCCTCATCATGATTCTGGAGTTAGATGATATTGGGTTTTAGTGAACCTCAAACTCTTCCACTCAGAAATTCCTGTGTGTTAAGTTCTTTGCCCTCAACCTGTCATTATAAGAATGACTAAGTTGTCCTCCAGGTTTGTGGAGCCTGAAGCCTTCTCCAGTTTGCTTGAAAAGCTGGCTGTTCCCCTTCCCTTGTCCATCCATGTTAAACAGCTTACTCAATTGTCTTCATGGCCTAATTAGTGAGCAGAAGTAAATCAGTGAGTGTGTTGAACTACCAGGCATAAAAAGAATAAATAAAGGAGGATAAGAAAGGATGACTCTTCCTGTCTTTTCTATGGAAGATGCTCAAAAGGTATTTGTCCTGTTTCAGCTTCTAGGACTGAGGTGATGTTTCAATGAACTGAGGCATTGATTTAACAAAGTGGATAATGCCTACTCAGGAATCTAAAGAAGTTTTTTTTGTATTCAGAAGAATTGTTAATAAATACACAGTCTCCTACTGAATGTGTAGTCTGTAGGTGAAAAACAGGAAACACTTATGTGGAATAGTCAATTGATAACGATCCTCTGAATTGCAGCTCTTTGAGATTTTTTAACTGCTACTTTAACACGACAAAGATTAATATGATGAAACGTTCATAGATTTTGATTATAAATGGCTCCAATTTTGGGGGTTGTGTAAGTTTTATGGAAATATGTTGCTGTGTTTCATTGAGTCCCTCACTAGAAAAGCCAGCTTTGCAAGAAAAAGATATGATCTAAATCAATGATTAAAAAGCTTTGGGTGATCAAATTCTCAATTTCTTTAGTATCAGATTTTAAAATGGTATTGTCATATGACTGCTAGCTAAACTATTGTCCCAGACCATTTTTTGAGTAGTGTGATTATTCCTTTTTCTTTATTTTATATCAGGATGCAACAATATAAATGATTACCTATTCATTGCTAATATCAACTGATTGGAAAAAAACAAATCAAATAATGAATCTCTAGGAAATTAAAGGTATCTTGGTCCTGAGAGGAGATGCTAGAATAATTCTAACCACAAGATAAAGTGGCAGAACTATATTTTATTTTCTGTTTAGGGAGAACTTTTCTTTCTTCTCTTTTAAAAATCTAGTTCTTGTTGTAGCAGACGAGAGTGTTTAGCAAGAATGTATGTGAGGGGAGGACGAAACAAAAATCCTCTAGTGTCTGTGCTCGTAACTCTGTCCAGTAAGCTGGTAAATAAAAGCTTTTCAACTGCTTTCATTTAACAAATTTAGATCTGCAAGTTGGTGGAGAGTGGATAATCCAGAGCATGTGTACTTGGAGTGATGGAGTTACCTAAATAAAAAGCAGTTCCAAATAGAAGATGACCTCAAAGTAATTTGCCCACTTACAGGATAGAGACAGTTAACCAGTTCTCGTCTGCTTGCTGTGCCCCTCACTCTGCTGCCTGCCTCCTGCAAACAGGAGTGTCACAGGCATGTGTCCCTAACCCTTCTCTTCACACCTGGCACTTCCCCCTTCCGTCTCCTTCTCAAACAAAGAAATTTTTGGTCTTTCCTCCCTCTTATCTTCAGCCGGGCATCAAAGTGTCCCTCCTTCCACCTTCCTCTCCTCCAACTGTCCTGCAGTGCACACCTACAAATTTTAGCATCTACAGTCAGTTTGGCAAAGTGATAAGTCATTATGAATAATTTGTAATAAGAAGGTACTGGATTATTGCAGGCATGTGTAACACTACCTGGATTTCTTGTGTCACTGACTTTACAATGCTATTGTCTTGGAAAACTAAGCCTCTGTGAACTGATGGTTTGTAACTGGTTTCTTTAAGCGCTACAGTTGTGTTTGTGTGGAACAAGGAATATTTCTGGATGTTTTCTAATTTCCTTTTGAATGCATTCAATATGCATGTTACTCTTAAAGAGTAGGAGAAGAAAGTATGTACCAAAGAACTCAAGTTTATATTCCTTTATCCAACAGGACATTTGAGGCTGGTTCTACTCTCATGTCTCCTGCCCTAAATGTAAAGTGAGGAGTGATGCTAATTTTCCTTGAGCCTTATTTGGACTGTAACTAAGCCCCAAGATAGTTGCTCACTACGCAGCTATTTTATTGTGTAAGAGTTTGTAAGTATTTTTGGTTTCTTAGTTACAGGGGAGTCATTAGCCTTCCCATAATCTTATCTTTTCTTCTAAAAATACAGTTGTCCTAATAGGTCTTCCTAAGACTGGAAATCAATCGCCTTTTCTACCTGGTGAATGTCGACAATGACCACAAACAAAAACCCTGCAGAAATTACAGGGAATGATAGTGTCTGACAGAGTCAGACTTCAACAGACTTTCTTGGCCCAGTTTCAAGCTGTTCAGCTGCAATGGCATTTTAGGAGAGAGTGACTAAAGCGCAGCTTTCAGTGTCCTGGGGCTGTCCCTCATACATCTGCAGAGAGACAATATCAAGAGCTTTGCCGTTTCCCCCCAGAGCATGTCTACGTGTTGGCTCTTTGCTTCAGAAAAACTGGCTGCTGAAGAGGCTGCTGTAATCGCAGGTCTCCTCTCACCTGAAATAGCTCTGAGTCCTCTGTTCTTTGTCTTCATGTTAAACGGAGACAAGTTTGTTTCATTCTGATGCAGCTTTATGAAAGTAGTTAATACCTGCCTGAATGCAGTATCCACAACAGCACACCTTCCAGGAGTTTGTCCCTAGACCGTGGAAGAGATGATGGGGTAATACTAATCAATACACCATTGGTGTAGTTATGGAGCGTTTGGCAGTCTTGAAAGTCTGCCGTTGTCGTGTAACCTTACATAAGGACAAACCTTTTCCTTCAACAGTGGATTTGAAATCTGTATTATCAGAGCCTATCACTGGGGTATCAGGTTATCTTTACTCTAGTAATATTACAGGAGGCTCTGCTTTTTTTTGGTAGTTGGTGTTTCATCTGTTGCATCCATCTTAGTCAAGAAAAATGGAAGTTTGGGTCAAGAACGTCATCAGCATTCTGTCCTGATGATCTGGGCCTCTCTTTTACTCAGTATTTTGCATATCAGTATAACCTGAGCAGTATGAAAATTGTGTGACAGACTTAATTGCAGGAAAGGGCGCTGTGTCCAGAAAATAAGTAGCATCTCCACGACAGCATTTACTGGCAAACAAGACAAAATATCCTTTTCTGTGTAAGAACAAGTTATCTTTCAAAACGGTGCATTCAGCACCACAGTCACCTGCCAGCAGTTTAGTTTTGTGCTTCTCTGAATAATCTAGGAGGTGGGCTCAACCACATTACTGTGGAGAACTGAAATGGAAGATCTAATATATGCACATAATGTCTTCTAGAATTGAAGGTCTTCAGCAGTCAACATCTGCAAGCAAGGAAATGCTTGTTCTTCCCTACTAGATACATTCTTAGTTACCCTACTAGAGTGCTTTTCTAACTTTTGTTGTTCGTTGTTATTCATATCTTAAAGTGGAACATAGACCTTGAGTTTTCTCAGTGGCAGTGTTGCCAAAGCAGTTTAGACTTGAGGACCTGTTCAGTTTATTGCTGAACTATAGTCTGCTCAGTCCATACCTCTAAAATTTATGAAGTATCTGCTAACAGTCTACTTGGTTTCAAGGAAATGATCTTTTATGGGACAGGAGCTTAGTTTTTATCATTTTGATAGAATAGTGTTTTGAGCCGTTAGGAATCTTGATTTTGTGACATTTTGCAATGGAAGGGTCTTCCTTAGTAGCTCTTCTGGTTCTGAGGTACGCTAGAAGAATGAAACCATTCCTTCCTGACAGGGTTTTCCTGCCCAAAGTTGTATGTAACTTACGTTTGCAGGAAAGTTAAACTTTTTTCCCCGTCTCCTAAGGCATATTCCCCTATGGTCAAACTATAGGTCTAGCAGGGCTGCCAGGTTCTATATTGACAGATGCCTTGGTTAATCTCCTTGCTTATTTGCTTCCACTAGAGGAAGAACCATGGGAACACACAAACTGTGCTAGTAACAGACAAGGCCTGTTAGAACGTCAGGAGAGGTTCCCCTTCCAAACTACCCCTGAGATCAGCAGTCAGCCCATCGTTCTTAACGTCAGTGAGAGGGTTTGTCAGGTGTTTGTAGAGTGACTACTTGGCACTTACCACTGTTCTGTCACAGTAGCTTCTGAGAATTACGAGACATTTAGTAGAACAGTACTGTGGTCATTATCATTTTGCAAAGATTTTTGAGACCCAAATTGAGGACAGGTGTGAAGAGATGGAGGATCTGAGGAGGGTTGCATGGAGCCACCCTCAATATATATGTGCCTATATCCAGACACTCAAAGAGAAGTTACATCTTGAACTACAGCTGTTGGTATTAACTGAATGTAGATTTACTACCCACTTTCCTTGCTGCCTTCCTAAGAGAGCCTTTTGGTTACCATAATTTGGAGGAGTTAAGTCCTATGGCAGTTTTGCCTTTTATGCCTGTGTGAAAGGGGAAGGATTGTGTCTTCTCTCAAAGTATGGCTAAATGAAAAAGCTTAAACTGTATTTGTGCTATGGGTACGCACACAATATTGGCGTTGGACTCAAAGGGCTGTGGTTACTGTCTAGTAACCATTCTGTCTCAGCATCCTTTGACAGTATGTTTTGTTTGAGCTGCTAAGTATTTTTAAGTTAGCTAATTGGGTGGTATTTCTGCTCAAATGACCGATGTGCGTCAAGCTGCAACAATACAGGCTCACCTATAAACAATAAGTATCCTGCTGTTGTAAGGAAGCTTTTTTTTTTGAGAGGGAACTGCAGCAAAAACTCTGAATTAGTAACAGTTTCATGGGATTATGTCAATCAGGAAAATGTGCCTCACTTTTTTTGAATTCTATAATGATATATACCCACTATAGTTTGTTTTTTTTTTAAAAAAAAGAAATCCTTTTTGTTGCATCTCTCCACCCTTTTGAGTTATAGTAAATGTTTTTTTTTAAATTACCACCAAGTGAGAAAAGTCCTTTAATTCTTGTGTAGCTTCATTGACGGGTTCCCGTGTCTTTCTTTGAAGATAATGATTATGTCTGGCATTCTTCAGATAAATGTTTGTATTCCACACACTCTCATGACCTCTTGTCCTTGCTTAGTAGTTTAAATAATAGTGACTACCTGTCTCTATGAAGTTCTGTGCTAAGCCATTAGAAGCAAGGAGTTAGACGTGTTAAAATTTCTTACTGAAATTGTACTGTTTATATTTTTTTGCTTTTGAAGCTAATTCGATAGAACATTCTATTACAGCTCCTGGGTAGATAAACTGAAGTCTTTAATCTCACTTTTCCCCTTTGATATTACCTGATGCTATCTCTTCTTGTAAGCAAAAAAACAAACCAACCAAACAAAAAAACCCCAAAACCAACAACAGCAAAAAACCCCACCACAAAACAAACAAACAAATAAAAACCCCAAACTGATAATTCTTGACTCTTTCCTGCTTCGGTCTTTGTTTCAGACGATATTTTGTTCTGCAGAGGTAGTTATCTTAGTAAGAAATTGCAATTAATGTTGTTTAAAGAAACAACTAAATGATGGCCTTTCTGTAATAATACATCCGAATCAAGAATTGTTCCAGAATCCTTTTTTTTAATTTCTTTTTATCATAATAGAGTTATTCCTTTCTGATAGACTGCTAAAAGGGGGAAAGTGTCTTGAGCGTATGCTGGTGTTGTGGCATTGATTCCTTTTAAGATGGAAATCAATATTGCTTTTCTCTCACTGTTGATTGCATGCAATGTTTTAAAGTTTCTCACAGAAATTATTGTCTCAGAAATATTAACCCTATATTTGACTGCTTTCTTTCAGAGATGTGGTACTGGGTTTTCCTCTGGGCTCTCTTCTCCTCTCTCTTTGTCCATGGTGCTGTGGGAGTATTAATGTTTGTGATGCTGCAGAGGCATAGGCAGGGGAGGCTGATCTCTGTCATTGTGGTCAGCATTGGATTTCTGGGTTCTATAACTGGAGCAATGATAACCAGTAAGTCTGTCTTTTTTTTCTTTTCTTTCCTATTTTCACTCTAACCTCCAAAAAGAAAAAAAAAAACACAAACGAACAACAAACCACACCTTTTTCTTAGTGATTTGTTAGTTGTTTATTGAGGATTTTGCCTTAGTTATATAGCTATCCTAATGCTAATGACAGCTGAGTTGCTCTTCTCTTGTGTAAAGACAAAATACTATAAATTGTCAGAAATCATCCTACTCATTCATTTTGGAAAAGTTGGGTACCAAGCAATTCAAAAAGTGTGTACTGAGCAGGTAGTATCTTTTCGGGATCAGGAAGAGCAATCCTGTCCTACCATACTTGTTGCAGATTTTTTTGTCAAAGGTTTCTGATCAAGATGGCCACTTCATACACTTAAAGCCACCAATTTCTATTGGAAATGAGGTCCTGATTTCACTGGTTGCAAGGCTGACTTCCTGCTCGTTTCCTTGGGCCTGATGGAGGTTTTTAAAGTGCACCTGGGTAGGTCATTACCCTTTTAAAAGAAATAAAGGTGCAATATAGGTAATGATTTACAGCTAAGAAAATTTGTTTGCTGGCTTGTTTTGAGAAGTGACAATTGGCTCATGGATTTGAAAGAACTTTGCAGTCTTGGCTTGGCCACAATGTCACGTCTGCTTTATTTGGGGTAGGGAGAAAATAGGGAGGAATGCCAGTAGGCTTCCCCTGTCCCCCA